ACATTTTGCAATGTATAAGGTACATAGCTGCAGCATGGGATGAGGTTACAGGTCAGTGCATGAATGGAATATGGAAGGAGGTCCTGAAAAGATATGTGAACAGTTTCAAAAGATTTAATGAAGATGAAGCAATTTCTGAGATTAGTAACAAGATAGTGGAATTGGGTAAACAGCTGGAGTTAGAAATTGATAATGAAGATGTTGAGCAGTTGGTTGAAAGTGCAGCAGAAGAGCTAAGTAACGAGGATCTTATTGAACTGGATGCACAAAAAATGGCAGAGGAAGAAGAGAAAATATAGAAGAACCTGCACCCCTCAAAAAGTTTTTCAGTGAAACAAATGGTGGAGGCATTTGCTACTATTAATAAGGGGATGCAAATGTTTTTAGAAATGGATCAAAATGTTAAGCGTTTTGCAAAAGTTGACAGAATGATCCAAGATGTTTTTGCTTGCTACAGGGAGATTTACAATGAAAAAAAAAGGCAAACTGTGCAGTCTAAATTGGACATATATTTTAAGAAGTCCCCCACTGCTGTCTCCTTATGCCCCACCTCTGCTGCCTCTTCACTCCCAAAGACGATCCAATACCTTCAACACGCAAGTATGTTAACCTGTCTGAAGAAAGCAAAATTGATGACCCACCCAGCCGTCTCCTCCTCTGCTTCATCCAATTAATGTAGTCTCCGTGTTTAATTAAAAAATTATTGAGGCCCCTTGTGCATTCAGCGGACTACATTAAAGGTAAGTGCACAGTAACACTTTATTCATTTGTCATTATTGATTACTTTTACTGTACAGTACATTATTTCATTTTAGATTTTCTATGTATTATTTTCGCTTTTCGAGTTACGACCTGGTCGTCGGTCAGGAACCCCGTCGTAAGTCAAGGAGAGACTGTATACCTGGAAAATTCCAGGGATGGTGGAATTTTTTTTTTCCAGGTATGAGAGATGAAAATCAGGCGCATTTTCCAGAAATTCTAAGACAATTTTTCTGGTACCCAGAAAATTCTGGGGATGGGGAACATTTTTTCCAGGTTTGAGAGATAATGTAATGCAAAATTTCTGGAACTTCTGAGAAAAATTTTCCGTTACCCGGAAAATTTCGGGGACGAGGGATTTTTTCTAGCTTTGAGCATCGTCGTCTCGTTACCCAGAAGTGCTCTGCCCCAATTGTTCCAGCTAAAGGAGATATGTACTTGCAAGCGCGCAAGTAGAGTTAACGGACATGTCATCGTAGAGAAGCACAATGGGAGCACAGAATCGTGTTTTCCCTCTTCCCAGTGAGTCAAGGTATCGCTAAACTGAATTTTGACAAAACTGTTATCGCTAAAGTAAATTAGTGCTAAGCGAGGGATACCTGTACATAGACCTGATATAGAATTTAAATTATTATCACAAAAATTAAACACAAAATAAGGTTATTTGATTTACAGTCCAAAGAAAGAGATATACAAGCCTGTCAGTTTTTTTATAATTTGTCATCCATAAATCTGACCAGGCAATCAACAATACATAAATACATGATATTAATCTAGATATACATTATCAAAAAATTTTAATTTAGAAACCGGTCTGTCAGTATGTATGACAGTAGAAATTAAATGGTTTCTAGGAACACTTGTACTTCAGTGTTGTGCATATAAACTTCAGTAAGGGTTCAATAAAAAACAACGTATACAAAAAATGAACATGTTTGACATATACAAATTATTCTTGTAAAACATTCACTTATGCACTTGAACAACATTTATGCTTGTGAGTCAGTTTATGATGGTAATCCAAAACAGTATAAAATTAAGCAACTGAGACACCACTAACTGAATTTTCACATCCTAATTTTCTCTCATCTGTCCCAAACATATATGACACGAGACGTTAGCTTTGGTCTCCTTGCACTTCTAGCACTGAGTGATCTACCTAGAGGTTGTTTACAGAAGCGTAAAAAATAACTGAAGGAATGGAATGTGAAAAAGTGTAAGAAAAAAAGAAAAAGAAAAAACCTGAGGCGACAGATTTACTTTGATAAGAATACTCCAAACCTACATAACACACAGACAAGAGCTACGTAAGTGAGCATGTTAGATGGGGCACTAATTTGCAAAACATAAGGATGAAGGAGCCACTGTGTACCATGACTTCTCCCCCTCTTCCTTTAACCCTTAAAACCCACATGACATTCCTCAATGTTCACTTGGGCAACCCCGGGTGACAATCCTCTACTTCCTAATTTTCGCGGCATATTTTGAATGTCCAGGCAGGATGAAATATATTGTATTGGATATTTGTTTAATTGGCATTTCAGCTTGTGGAATCTTTGTCTCAAGACTCATGCCTCGTGGTCAGTTACCTGCCAACTATCATGAGGGACGCATGTCCCTCGACCGCTATTCATTAATTTAGAGCTGCCATATTTATTGCTACAATAAACAACAAAATCAATACATAGCTCATCATAAAATGCAAGAACACATAATTTATGTAAAAAAAAATAGCTCCTTCCACACCAAAACCATCCACTGAGTGATGGATACAGTTCAGGCAGTCAACTAGCTGACTCAAAGACATGTGGTCAGGAGGGAACAGTCATGCAGTTATAGTCCAGTAACCCGCCCCAACACGCATTCACTCCCCACGTATGCTCTTCATTTATCTTATTTTATAGTTTTATATTATATTTGCCATATTTCTAAGCCACATTAGAGTATTACAATGATTTTTTTGACAACTTTTAGTTTCATTACAAGTAACAATAAACACAGCAGCCTGGCTGGCAAGTTAGCCTCGCAGTTATAGCCCACCACCTACACACACACACACCCATGCTCTTCATTTTTCCCATTTTATAAATTTTTTTACCTCTAGGCCACATCGTTTATATAGAGTAAGATAAGTATTTTAAAAGAATGTAAACTGTATATCTATTTTTGGGGGCCGAAATATGCCCATGTGGAGGGTCCGGCTGGTCTTACGTCGCTCGGGTTTTAAAGGTTAAACTTAGCTTAGGTATTTACAACCTGTTTGACAATCTTGGGGTTTAAAGTTACACGTATCCAACATGCAATTTTAAGATAATAAATAAAAGGACACTTTAAAAATGGTGAAACAAATTAAATCACAACATTCAATAAACTCTCATACAGACTTGCTACTGTATTTCTTTTTTATAATGCAAGAATAACAAAGTCAGGCGAAGAACTTGGCTGGTCAAGAACAACTCGACTTCTTTGGCAAAATAATATATATTTTTTGAATGCAAATTCTTGTTTTATTGTACTGTACTGTAATAGCATTTTAGCATTCATGGTTAAAGATTTACCTGGGTGACTACTGTGATACAGCAGATGAAACAAAACATGCTCACAAATAATCATACCAACTGCATAGTTAACATTATGCAGATAAATTTTTAAACTGACTTTGTTCTTGCTTGCTTTCCTGATATGTCAAATTTATTCACTGACTGAGACAATATTAATAATTTTGACTTTGTAAACCAGAGTAAATTTTGAAGGAAAAACAAAAATACAATAAAATCACTAAATATGAAGACTGAACTTCTAAATCACATGTATCTTTAGCATAAACATCAAATTAATGTGCACCACTACATTAACTTCTGCACTGAAATGCAACACCAATACTCACATCAACTACAATGGACAAACAACTTATAAGAAAAAATATGAAAAAATTGCAACACATATATTGTCTTTAAAAGTATCAAGAAAACACTTTCCTATGACATTGAAAATTGTCATTATTTTACCACCATGTTCCTATTAAATTTCTTTAACTGCTCTAAGGCACAATTTACATTGTGTTTAACATGTTTCCATGACCATATTCCACAATGAACCAGCAATTATAATATATATTCCTATAATAAAATGTATAAAAATGACTTGAAAAGTGTCATTAACTGAACTAATAAATTTCTGTATACTGTAAAATTTGATTGTTAGTACGATGAATTTGAATGAGAATCATCAAACTTCTTTCTACTAAACACAACAGTTTGGAAATGCCACAAAAAGTGCAGTTTAATCCTTCCAACCTTTAACTACATATCCATATAATTGGTACCCATACTCATCCTGGTTAAAAAAGAAAAAATATTACCTCAACATACACAATATACAAGAAAGAGCAACACTGCTATTTTCATAATTTTACATGAATAAAGCTTTAGGTATTGGAAATGTTTGTAGAATACATGTCATGAGAAACCTTTCTAGAATAATGAAAAAAGGCACCACAGACCTATGAATGGCTTAGAAAGATGATGAAAGTGGAATATGACTCCCCCCCCCCCCATCAACTATCTTCCTTTAACACAGCCATTCCATCCTAGCTTACAATATGTCATGAGTAACAGCTGCAATGGGTAAAATTTTACTATTTGTTTCTCCCCTTGAACTGCAACATTTATATATTACACACTCTTCAGTACCAGGCTGACAACACGAAGCCACTGGCAGTAAACTTCCTATAATTTCCTATATGGGCAAGATTGGCAATCAATAATATTTAGGCTAGTTGACTACTAGTTGTGAATCTGAAAACACAATGACCACCCCTTGTACATGTTCATTATTAAATTTTGAGCATATCTAGCCCAAAACTTAAGAATAAAAAGGTAATTTTGTAACAGCTCCATCATAACCCAACATTTCACCGACAGCATTTAAAATTTACAGATAGAAAATGTCAGATCTTTCTTCTTAATGGTATATCTTATGTATATTTTACCATTCTAGATTTGTGTTTCATTACATTGCAATTCGTTTCCTTTGTAATGCCAACTTTTAGATCTACACAGTGTGATTTACTTTCACTGGGATTAATTTTTACACAGATAAATCCCAACAATGTTTGGGTCAGCATCAGTCAATTAATCTTCTTTGTACATACCACAATTCCCACAAATATTGCATTTTATCTCTAATCAAAACTTTTTAGGTCAAAGTAATATGTCTCCTCCATGCACGGAGAGAAAAAAAAAAAAAAAACATATTACAGTTTGATCTAAAGAATGAACTTGCAAGACTTGGGTACTGTCAAGTAAGGATGTTATTGCTATGAGCATCCTAAAAAACTAAAATATGACCTGAAAACTTAGATCCAACAGCTCATGGCATGAGATGCACATTACAGAGTATCTGGATTATTGATTATGCTGTACTATTTGACATGCACACTGCTATGGGAGACACCTCAGTGACAGGCACTAATCTGTCACATCAACAGTGCTCTTTAACTGACGCACGCTGGGGAGTGAGAGCTCTCTGTTACACGGGTGAGAGGCGGGGATGCTGGTGAGGACTGGCTTGAGGCGTGAGGTAGTAGAGGCAAGTTGGCTCAGTCCACCACAGAGTCTACATTCATACACATTAGTTTTCGAACTCTGGTACTCATTGAGGGAGAATCAGGAGTTTTGGGGATGTGACCATTAGTTTCTTCTGAATGAACTTCACTGTTGTGGATACTTCCATTGGCATGATTAGCATGACCATTAGCATAGCCATTGGCTACACCATTTGCATGACCATTAGCAAAACCATTTGTCTTTCCATTTGCATGACCATTTGCCTTTCCATTTGCATAGCCATTTGAGACCCCATTGACAAGTTTAGTGATACCATTCGCGAGGCTTCCATTGGCATGACCATTTGACCTTACATATATTGAAGTTCCATTTGCAAATGCCTGCAAATAAATAATTCAATAAATTTACTGAAACATTATACTGTATAGTAATGTATATTTAACTGATGCATTCATATAAGAACCATGTCTAGGAAAGTTTAAAAACATATATTAAATTTGTAATTGCAGCTTAGTATGAGCCGACTTAGATTACAAAATATAAGATGATGCATCTTTAAAGAGGAGTAATTAACATTGTCATTAATGTAGAGTAATTGTAGAATACTGAAACCGAAACTTAAAAAATCTTTGTGAAATACTACATAAATTTGAACAAGATTAGCAACACATCATGTTTATTCACCTTGACTTTGGCAGCTCCCTTTAGGTAGGCTTTAATATAGAAGTCAGAGAACAGGAAGAAGAACATGACAGCATGACCACCAATCCACCACATAAATGCTCGAGGGTAGTTGCACTCAGTGAAGCAAAGCTGCAATTTTAAATCATTTAAATAAATGCTGAATAAATATGTAATCATACAGTAGCTGAAAGTTTAGCTCCTATGCAAACCTAACTTGAATAAACCTCACATTGTAATATATATATATATATATATATATATATATATATATATATATATATATATATATATATATATATATATATATATATATATATATATATATATATATATATATATATATATATATATATAATGCTGGGTGATTTCAACACAGTATAAAAATCAAACAAAATTGATCAATATACAGTTCAATACAGTACTAACTGTACTTTTATTTGAACTAAAGTTGTTTTGGGATTTGTTATGAATTTCCTTCAGCAATACATGTTAGGATTCCTGAGACCTAATTATTAAACCCTTTAGACTACTGATTGCACTGAGCTGCCCGAGAAGTGTGTTATCTAAAAAAATTCTTCCAACTATAACTATACGATAGTTCAGTCTGGTAGCAAGAGGTTACACTTCATTATGTTTATATGTGAAATATAAAAATCAAGTCATAATAAATCTCAATATTAACCTGGAAAGCATGACCGAAGATCATGATGAACTGGATCATCTGGAAGTTAGTAAGGTATTTCTTCCACCAAATGTAGCGGCGGTAACGTGGACCCAGGGCAGCCAGCATATAGTATACGTACATGACTATATGCACGAAACTATTGATAAATCCAAAGAAAGTACTATGACCACCTATGAAGGAAAGAATTTGGTATGATTAATTACAATATCATATTTTGGAGTTTACATGAAGCTTTCAGTAAAAAGCACAAACAACATCTCCTAATCAAACATAAAAACTACTAAGGTTGCTGCAAAAACTCAAAACAAAGGAATTTTAAAGATTACAGTACTGTATAGAGAAAGTTAGTAAGTCCCAGAATGACCTACTGGGTATTTAGTTTTTAAAGAAAATTTGACTTTAATACTCATGAGCAAATACTAATTATGGAATTAAATGGATCCTACTAATCTACAATCCTCTTGTTTATATAACATTGAAACAAACAAAATAATATGATTCAACCTTGAAAAAAAATTGCCAAGTCAATTTCTAATTAAAACAAAAGGATCATAACCCTCCCACAGTGAAATAATCTACTCGTCTCATTAAAGAAAACTGACCAAGAAGAAAAACTTCAATACATCTCAGATATAAACAGAAGAATAAGACTGAAATCTGCATAACTGGGAATTCTTTTTAGCCGACTTAGTATACAGGAAACTATGAACAAATAAACCTTCTCTGACTCTATCAACTTTTTACAATCCCATATGAGGGATTTATAGGTGAAGTGATACTATTTGAGGGATTTACAGGTGAAGTGATACTATTTGAGGGATATACAGGTGAAGTGATACAATTTGAAGGATTTATGTTATAGTACAGTGGTCCCTCGGTTAACGAATTAGATCCCATAAGGATTTTCAGTTCGATTAACAAAATCCTTACGACAAACACTTTTTGTTGTGCTCATCAGCTGATCAGCCAGTCCGCCAATACAGTTATCAGTTCTATGTTTACATTCTTTTCCAGTGGAGTAAATATCAAGAAAGTTGGTCTCTTGAACATTTCTGCATTTTTTATATTAAAATTATTGGTCATTCTGAAATTTAGTTAACATATTGATAATATATACAGTACCGGGAACAGTTTTTGTGTGCCCATCAGCTGATTGAATCACCCAACAAAGCTTCTCAGCTTAACATTGTTTACAGTGGAGTGAACATCCAGTTTGTTGGTCTCTAGAATATTTTTGTATTTTTACATTAAAATTATTGGGAATTCTGAAATTTTTTTAACATATTGATAATATACAGTGCAGAAATTATTATGGAACACAAAGAAGGCATTAGAACCAATGCACTCTGTAAAGAATATGGCATGTCATCATCGACTGCCTCTACAATTAGCTGTTTGATATGTAAACAAAGCTGCTGGGAATACAACATACACACCTCAAAGTAAGTTAAAATACAGTATTCTATTGGTTTTTTTTATTTATTATTGTACAGTATACTGTATAGTACAGTACTGTATTTAGTTTATATTCAATGTTTTGTTAATTCTATTACCGGTATACGTACAGTACTTTGTATGTATACTTTTTCTGATAGTTGGAACCAATTACCCAATATCCCATTGAAATAATAGATTCGGTTAACGAAATTTTTGGTTAACAAACGACTCTGTGGAACGAATTGTGTTCGTTAACCGAGGGACCACTGTAAAGACAATATTTACAATACTTTATGTCTACCAGCCCAAAGATCAGATTTTTGCCAACTTTCAAAACCTGAATTGAACCTTTAAACATGTTCAGAAATTCAAATGGGTCAAGGATGTATATAATGTATATCCCCCATCCCCAGGCATGTACTGTATTCATTTCTACTTTTATTAAATCAGTAAGAATGAATGAATGAATGACCGCAAAAGAATGGTGTGTGTTAATGCTCAATTCCCTCCACCCTGCATTTGCTCTTCATAATTATTGAAGTACAGTACATGTACTGTAATATTTATTGTACCTTTAACTTCATTCATTAATACAGGGGGTACTACATTCATATTTGATTTTTCACATTTTGGGATAGTACAGTAATGCAATTCAGTCTTCTTCCCGAGTGAAATCTATTACACTTAACTTAATTCTCTTCCATCCTCATGTTCCACAACAGTCACATTTTACCTATTCTTAAGAGTATTTTCCAACCCACCTATTAATTTAATTATCATAAACAAATGCAGTACAGTATTCTCCCTTCTTGTATAGTACAGGTACTAGTATTTCACACTTCAGTGGCACTTCAAGGCAACATTCTTAAACTACTCACATTCTTTTTCAACACTTTCTAGTTCACCCTCACAAGGCCGCTTTATCTTAATAATTTCTCTAAAAGTTTCAGCAACTTTCTCCCGTCTCCATTCCTCATTTTTTATAGGCCCTTTCTCTCCTCTTTGAGTTTCTTTCTTTTAGCATGAACCTTCCACTTGCTTTTATTAGCACTTCTCCCAAATAATGGTAATACAGTATACTTTTTGTCATTGATGGCTGAAGTTCCAACACAATTACAAAACATATGTAGTTTTCATCACCTTGGAGACAGTTTATTAGCAGGGTCAACCATGCAATCTTGCCCACAAATCTCATCTTACAAAAAGGAAATATTTTTTCTTTTCACCCTCTCAAATTTCTTCCCATGATATTGGTGGGAGGTTGTAAATAAGAGTAGATAAAGACTTTCTCTTCATTTGGTGTCATTCACCCACTCTTACTGCTTCAACAAATGGTATTTTCTGTGTATGTGTCCTCCCACAACAAAGCCCCAGAATATCTACTGTGTCTTGTATATCCCTCTCACTTAATATGACCCAACTTCACGCATCAATGAATTCAGAGAACATGTTCTTTGTAACTCAACAACAGAGCTATACTTTACCTGGGGTAAATTTTACACCAAACCACACACTCATGGGCATACAGCCATGATGAATAACATGAAGTGTTGATACATGCTCAAATTTCTTATGCAGGACAAAGAAAAACTGGAAAAAAGAAAGAATCCAAGGAACAATTAGAAACTGCATTTGCAAACACATACTGTACTTGAAATTTCCCCAAAACCCTTAAAAAATAAAGTTTAATTTCAATATATATACTATACGGTACACATGAAACGCCCATATATATACAAGAAATACAATAAAAATTACAATTGAGAGGTGTGTGCACGTTCTCCCTTTCACGGCCACTCTTCAACTGACCATCTGCCACCACCCTGCAACAGCTAGCCATCATCATCTACACCCATTTTTACCACTCTTATGACACTAAAACAATAAGTACTTAAGAAGTGTAAAAATGCATAAAAGAATTACGGTACGATATATAAGTTTTGATAACGAGTGATTTATTGAGGAGGTGTGCCTGTGTTCTCCCTCTCATAGCTGATGTATCGCTGCTCATTGCCCAATTAGAAGGTTCATGCACACGGTTTAATTTATTCCTTATGATAGGACAATATAGTGAAAATTTAAATATTTGGGTAAACAAATTTTAAGTCATAAATCAGTACTTTACTATACTACAGTATACTGTACTGTACCGTGATCAATATGTTTGCTATAAATGACAACTACCTGTATTCAAGTACAGCTCCTCCCCGACTTACGACGGGGTTTGGAACCCAAATCCAGGTCGTAAGTCGAAAATGCTTAAATAATACATAGAAAATCTAAAATGGGTGTCTCTTTCTTCTGAGAACTCACAAAACTCTCATTTTTAAGCTTACCAGCCATTTTAAAATTAATTACAAATGAAAATTTTGTCAGTACACAGCGCAATCAATGACGTTGGGACTCGAAAATACGTAATTTGACAAAATTTTGGTACGACTGAGGCAGTCGTATGTCCGGGTGGTCGTAAGTTGGGGAGGAGCTGTACAGTTCATTAAAATATCTATGTACAGTGATAGGGGAGTTATGTTCTGGACAAAGTTTTCATCTTGAAATTTCCTGGGATTTTTTTACTCTTTACTTTGAGACGAATTTGGTGTTCTACACATTCTAATAAAGATGCTTCATCCACAAAATATTAAACAATATTAGTCGATTGATTTCAGAGATACTGTATGCTAAACAAGAAAAAAAATTCTGGAGAAGAAGCAAAACAGGTTTTGCTTGCAGGAGATATACCACATTCATATGAAATTCAATTTTTTTTTTTTACTTGGAAACCAGGAAGGCTAAGTTCATGATCTATTATTAATGAGCACTGTGGGGAAACGAGTCAGACCTCTGTTCAGGTATTCATCCACTTGGACAGTACATGTATGCAGGGGTCTGTAACTGTACACTTCCATCATGTTGTAACCCAATGCATGTCTAGTCATCTTGCCAAAGTTAGAACATCAGAATACGATACCACCTGAAGAGCAAGTGTTGAAATTTGGCTAAAAAATTAAATTGCCATAACATCTATGACATTTTTGCAGTGTCCTTGGCACTGTCTATAAAACCACACACTGTGCAGCCAGCAGCAGCAAGAAGGTGCTTGGTGTCTGGGAGCAGTAGTAGTGGTTCACGTCAGGTGCGCATATCACATGACATTTTTTATATTTATACAACGCAGATTTGTTTTCATCAGTTTTCTTACATGTTCTCTTGCATTTTACAAAACTACAGTATGTTTTTCATATTCCTATACAATAATACACTAACTACAGGTTGACAATCCCTTATCCAAAATCCTTGGGGCCAGGGGCATTTCGGATTTCGGAATTTTTTGGTTTTCAGAATGTTTTTATTTTATTTTATTTTTTTTTTAATGTGTATTAGCTCACCCGGGCATAGATCACTGACCCACATCAGGGCCTGGGGGCGAAAATATATTAAAAATTATAATAATAATATATAGGTCTAGGTCGTGTTTCTCACTTTTGATCTTTTTTTTTCATTCTTGTATTTCTTTATTATTATCATTATTATTATTTTATTATTACAGTATTATTGTTATTATTATTAATTTTATTATTATATTTTATTATTATTATTATTATTATTATTATTTTATTTTGGTGTATTTTTATTAACATTTTTATTTACTGTACTATGAATAATTATTATTATTATAATTATTATTACTATTACATTTTCGCCCCCCTGGCCCTGATGTGGGTCAGTGTTCTGTGCCCGGGTGGGCTAATCCCGGTGTATATTTAAAAAAAAAAAAAAAAAATGGCCCCACAAAAAAACTTTCGGTTTTCAGAGCTTTTCGGAATTTCGGATACAGGGTTGTCAACCTGTACTTTTAAATCACAATTGCAATTTAAATATATAAAATGATGTGGAGTGTAAACCACATCTGGGTAGGCTCCTGTAGGGTGAAGCACATGACCCACCAAATTACTGTACAGTACTGCATTGTAATTTGACACCCCTGATGTAAAGTAAGAGAAAGTGACAACAATTTCCAAATAAAAACAGTAGAATATTACCGGGAGCTTAGCTTTAAAAAAATGATACTGCTTTCATAAATAAAGCTGTAGGGTAGAACACAAGAACTTAAAAGTATGGAAATACAGTACAAAAAAGTAAACCGCTTCAAAAACTTACAGTGTCAAAGAACTCTGTGAACTTGGAGAAGTAGTACCACCATGATGCATAGGTCATCTACAGTGAAGGAGATAGGCAATATCAGTAAACCCATCCACATTAAAAATCAATCCATATTCTTGCAATTTTAAATATTTCATGTTGGCATATTTCATTTATTGATGTGCATAGTATTGAAAAGTTTTTATGAATAATTAACGACTGAATTTGAAAAAAAAATCAATATAGTGTATAAACCTGAAGCCATGATGCTAGGTAAAATTTTACTGAAACTAATTGGCAATTATAATTTTTTTTTTACAATAGCGTAAAAAATCAGCAAAGCCTACAAATAATTGCCGGTACCACTTAAAGAACAATAGTGCTGCACCATTAATGTTTTGTATTATTCTGACAGACTAG